ATATGTACAAGTTGCACTGTACGTGTCGCTGCACTTCCATTCGCACCTTCCGAGGTCTGCTTTGATCAGAAATCAGAAGTGCTAATTGGAAACTGCTTAAAGTACTCTCCTGTCATGGCTAGGTCTAGGTGAACACCTCTTGAGTCTAATGGCTCTCAATGCTCTCAATGCATGGCCTTGCGTGGCTCACTGCTTGGTGGCATCTTTTTGACGAATGTCAAGGTGCAAATCCTAGTGACCAAATCCTGGCTTACAGTATATGAGGAAATTGCATGGGTCTGAAGTTCTTGAGCAAGTTACTCAAATTGCACTCTCCCAAAGAACGATTGGAATAGGTTGAATAGGTTTAAATGGAGGCTTGAGCCCTTCAGAATGTAAATGGTAGGCTATCCATGTCTTTTCGGAACAAGCGCTTGGCGAGTACTTATTGGTATCTTGACACAAACAGGTCCACTGCAAGCGATGGGCAAATGTTCACAACACGCCCTTGACGTTGTTCTTCGATGGAGTGTCGCAAGAGCCTATTTGACTTTCTTGAATTCTAATTCTAATATTCTAAATTCTAACTGCTTTGAAGCCACTTGTCTCTGGCAACTTTTGATAACAACTGCGCCTGTCTCCCTCCCTTAACCCCTGCCACTGCTTGCCTTTTACTCTCTTTTGGATAGCGTCCTGTCTTCAGAGTAGGTATAACATCCAGCTTCAGTAACTTCTATTCTTTCAAGATCCTGTGTCACCAATTTGTAGCCGCGAATGCACAAATCTTCAGTTGCAGCGCCTGCTTGTTCGTCATCCGTCAGGCCGACAAAGTCCTGACCTTTGTTGTGCACGTTCAGCTTCGGAATGTGCAAAGTGACCCCGGGACCCGCAACAATTCGCAACGCCCCGTCCAAGGTGAGCTCACCCAAATAGACATCTCCGCGAATCTCCAGGCTGCTCCTCGCGGCGATAGACAATTTTGACACTGCTGTGAGTCTCTTGCGGAGGCCAAACATGGAGGGTGCAAAGTCTGGCCACAAAACCACCGCAGGGCCCATGAGTTGTGGGCCACCTTTCCAATGTCGCTCTTCTGGGTCTGCCACTGAAGCCCCCAAAATTCTCAACATGGTGCAGTTTGCATCATAAACAGCTGCTTCAGCCGAAGCAGCCCCGTGGGGTGGTGTTCCCTGGGAGGCCAAGCGGGCAGCTGTTGCGATATCGTTCTTGCATGGAAAGTAGCCAAATGTCAAGGGATAGCGGGTAAAGCCAACCTTTGCATCTGCTTTCAACAGTCGCAGAAAGTCTTGCATCATACATTCCAGCCGAGTTGGGCTTTTGAACATACTCCGGGTTTGATCTGTGTACTTAGGATTGATAAATTCCGGCATTTGCCCACCATTCGTTTCCAACTCGGACAAATATTCTGGAAGTGCAAAAATGAGTTCGTTGGTGTTGCCAGGATAGGGTGAAAATCCATCAGGTCCATTCACGTCACCATCATGTCCAGTGGCTCTAAGGAGTGGCTCCAATTGATTGTACTCAACGTTTGCGACGATGCTATGACCATCTGTGTGCGTCAAACGCGCAATGGAGCCAACAGCCTCCTTGGCTTTTCTTGGCATCGTGACGACGTTTGCCAAAAGGCAATGTTTGGCAGAAACGCCAAGAGAACATAAAAAGGTGGTGAGATACAACGTGTTGGTGTCCTGAAAGAAAAGTATCCACTTCTTGCCTTCAGTTTGCCAGCGACGTGCCAGTCCGCTTTTGTGCAACAAAAAGTGTACGTCGCCATGCCCATGAGGTTTTGTAGCCACCTTGTAAGGACCTTCCATGCTGAGCAAGGCATTGCTGTTTGCTAATGCTCCCACTTTCTCCTGTAGAAGGACAGTCACCTGGCCCGGTTCAAGGCCATAGTATTTGTTGCTTTTAAGCAGGGCCTTGATGCCAGCCTCAGTATCCCCACTCGCCATTATGACCAGCGGCAACTGACATCTTTGCGCGCTAGGATCGTCTTCTTCTGCCAATCTTTGAAAGGCTTGTAAATAGGCACAATAGACCTCCAATACACAACTGCCTGTGACTAGCTCCACAGGAAGAGCAAACTTCACTCCGCTGAAGCCCAGGCGCTCCCCGAGCCCACCCGCTGGAATCACAAAACAACAGTTCTGAACTTCTTGCCTTCCCAACTTCTCGTATTCCATATAAGCTTGGGAGCCCACTTCAGGCTGAAAGCCGTCCTTGGGAACGGATGGACTCCACCCTTCAAGTGGATTCTCCCCCTTCGCTGCTTCCTGGCCACAAAGCTAAGAGCTAAGCCGGTTTTCGTTAGTTCTGGTCAAGAAAGGACACATTTTGGCTTGGTTGGTGCCTGAAGCAAGCTCCTCGCATTCTGCAAATAGCAGCCAATGCCTCCTGTCTTCAGGCCAAATCCATATCGCACATGGCTTTTACTCTCTCTCTCTCTCTCTACTCTCTTTATTTGGCATCCATTTGTCCTATCTCATTTGCTTCTTCCCTTTGGGTCCTGGATAATTGCGATCAAGCGTTCCAATCTGTTCAAAAAATGTTTGCTTCTCCTTAGATGGCATGGCAAGAGGCACAACCCCAGCCATGAAAATACGTCCGCTTTGCATCAGCAAACATCATGAGCTAGTGGCTGTCTTAGGTCGACATATTCTGATTTGGCCTGCTATCCACCTAGACTACTTTCAGCCTGATGTTCTACCTTTGTTTGGAAAAACAACAAGCCGTACTTAGGAAGTACAGTTTCTTGGCACATGTATGAACATGTCACGAATTTGACATGCGTCTGCATCATGAGTACCAGCTGGCTCCCATGCGCTAAAAACCTCTCGCTGCCCAGCTGACACCAGTAGCTCTGCCATTGCCACTTGCCTTGCAGTAAGCAAATTCTTGGATTTTACTCTGTGAGCACCTCTGTTTCTCCCTCTCTCTATATATATATGTATTTGTGTGGTGGCATTTTTAGTTTCATTGGAAGTTGATGTAGCCACTTTCAAATCTGAATGACATATTGTAGACATGGCACTCGGCCGTGAGCTGCTCCAGGTTTTCAGCCAGTCCCGGCACTGACTGCAAATCCATAGTCAATGCTGCTAGTTTTTGATTCTGAGATGATCAATCTGTCTGTCCCTGCCACATTCGATTCACTGGGGAGAAGCACCGACAGTGAGTGCGTTACAATGCAACATGGCACCATATTGCACCAGTTAGATGTAGAAATCTCTTGGATGTCGTGGAGTTCATACTTTGAAAGCTAACGTGGCCGCCAAAGGAATTTGCTTTGAATATGGGTTCCAAATACCTTTAGAAAGCTCGTGTTTCAGGCAGGGTAGAATTATTGTGCATTCATTCATGTGCATTCTGCAACTTGAGCTTTGCAGGAGCGAGAAAAGTGGAAGAAGGGGATACATATATGCTTATATGATATCCGCCGACCCCGCCGGTTGAAGGGGGCGCGCGCCAGAGGAGGCAACCGAGGGCATGCTTCCGTGACAGCAGGCGGCTTGAAGCGTGGCTGAAGGGTCGAAAGCGGAAGA